CGACAATAGTTAGTGACCTGTGGTTTTCTCCAATGAAAAGAGAAGAATTCTGGACATGTTTTTATCTGATATTATATGAGACAAAACTATTTTAAAACTCATCATCTTCGCACGGTTTTAAAAAACTCATGAAAATGATGTTCCATTTCGGTCTAATATTTGTTTTGAAATGTCTTTCAGATAGAGGGTCTTCAAATCTTAAAGTTCAAGGCACGATTCAAGCTGTTATCTGCTTATTTCTCTATGTTGAATAAACAAAATCACCTATCTATTCAGTCAAATTATATAGAATTCTGCTGATATTTGGTTAATTTTGGGTGTGGGTGTGCGCGTGTGGGTGTCAGTGTGAACAAAGAAAAGATTCACACCCATGCCCACACACCCGCACCCACCCACCCACACCCACACCCACACCCACCCACACCCCACCCTGTTTTCGGACGAATGTATTTGCATCGGAAATCAGCAAACAACTTTTTTGTAAAATTTTTTAATGCGACGATTGTCTATTTTAACTTTTGCGTTCTCCATCCGAAGGATGCGAGTACTCAGCTCGATGGTCAGACTTCAAATTGTAGCATCCAGCACCATATTTGCATGGAAATTTGGCAGGTTGATCATCGGCTTGGTGAGAATATTGAGCACAATGTTGAGCATCACCCATTTTTCGACATTTGTTACCCCGTTTGCAAGGTGTCCGCTTATCTCCTTTGTGTGGTACTCGAGCAGGTGAACTCGCTCGGGCTTCTACAAAGAAGGAATATAGAACAATGCATTATCCGAACATATGTCTCTCACCCTCTTTTGCCACTACTATTTTCGGATAGACGTTTTCGCCGTGGGAAAATTCAGATCGATGCTTTTTCGACTTGTCCTCACACTTCGCTTGATAGCGGCATGGTAAAAGAAAGTCAGGTAGACCCGTGTGACGATATTCGGCTCGATGAACTGCATCGTCTAGTCGGTCGCATTTATTATCGTACTTGCACATTGATACGCGATGAGGTTCGTGCGTAAAATGTGGTTCTTTGTCAGGACAAAGTTCAGAGAAACGACATGGATGGGAATATTTCGCATTATGATCTGCATGGCGTCGTACTGAATGCTGAAGGAGACAATTGACATTGTCCCGACACGGGGTCAAGTCAGGCTTTTCATCACCCATGATGAGGTTTTTCGCTCGATTCAAGTATCCTGCAAGACCCTTTTTGGCATTAGGATCTTCATCTTTCTTGATTGCGGACGCCTCATGTCGATCACCAGCTGCTACCGGTGCCTCATGACGATCATGTGCTGCTGCCGATCCAGATGAGCCTTTCTCGTAGTTTTTGTCGATTGTCGGATGTAAATCAGTTTGTTTCTCGAAGCAGATCATCAAGTTTCGCACAGGTACTGTTCGAGCGCCCGAGCTTACATGAACAAAATTCAATTTTGTCAGATCGAGTTCAGACTTTTCGAACTTATGCGAAATTTTTTCGTGATTGTAGATTGCATTCGGACCAGCATGACTGAGTGTGACTGTTCGATCCGAACGATGAATTTCAAGGCAGAATGTCATCAAATCATCTGTATTACAACCGAGATAGAAGTGATTCGATTTAGCAGCATGTGGACCTTTTTCTCTTCGAGCGTAATGTTGATACGGCGAGCAATTGTTCACATAGGAATACTGTTCATTGTAAGAACTTTCGGTGAAATAGGGTTTGGGGGCTATGTAAGAAGTCAAACAACGAAGATTCGGTTGTTTTTCGCCCGATTCGATCGGTTCATTGGACAATGTCAACATCATGTCACCGCTGCTCACCTGCCAATAGATAAAAAAGCGGTTTTCCGCCGGATGATGCTTATTGGCGGAACAGTACTGATTGTAGGCTTGTGAGACCGTAAGAGGTAGAACATAGTGATCGGCAAAGTCCATCGAAGCTAATGTGATCGAAGTACCTCGAGCGAGTCTCGATGAGTGCTTTTTAATACCGTCGAGAAATGTTACCTTCAATTCCTTTGCCACAACATTTTGATAATCCTCTCGAGACTTCGTTGAGGGTTTTGGACCACGTGGTCCCCCTGGTTGATTAGCTTCTCCGTCGTGCTTTACTCGAGTGATACGATGCTTGAAGTTAGCATTAATGGCTCGACGCGAAGCATCACTGAGAGCATCGTATAGATTCTGCGGAATATAGATATGATCTATGTAATTCAAGGGAATAAGTTGAGGTAAATGACCTTCAATTGTAGCGTGGGAATCGACGCTGAACCAACGCTCAAAGATCTTATCGAGATCAATATCCATACTTTTTTTCTTCAATCCCATGCTGGTAAAAGCTATTAACTCAAGAGCGGCAGCATAGTCATAGCCTGGAATCGATGCATGCAGTTTTGAAGCATTATACAACTTGACTCGCTCTTCATGCACGCCAGGATCAGCACCAAGCCATGGTCGTGAAGTGAACGCATTTCCGCTAATAAACGATGTTGCTGCTTGAATGGTAAAATTGGCATCTGGGTGGTGGAGAATTTCACGCTTGAAAACAATGAACACATCACCGTAGTAATGTCCCAAATGAGGTCCAAGGATGCTGAAAACAGTTTTGTCCGTGCCAAGATCTTTATCTTTGCCAAAACCAATACCACATGGATTCATATGCAAGTTCATCGAAGCCTCGGCGATCTCCATAGTTTTAGCTTTTATAGCTTCCATTTCGTTCGATTTTAAAATATTTGCAAGATTTGCTTCGAGCTTCGGTATGTCCTGCCAATTATGATCAGGAGTTGCTTTCAGAGGTGCTAGACCTCCTGTTCCCCCAGTAGATGGAGGTAATTTCGAACCCAAAATTCCTTTGGTCTCGAAGTAACGAGTGACCAAAGCAGTGATGTAATCTTTTGCTTTTCCAGCGGTAGTTTTCTCCTGTAATGTTCCGATGCGCCTTATTCGACTGTGTTGCAGAACCGAATTAGCAACGAATTTTGGATATTTCAAATTTTCCATATACTCTCGACTCATGACATGCCCATGCAAAAGAATCGACTCGAATATCATTGGACTGCATCGATGAACAGGCTGAACCGTACGTATATAATCGATGACTTCACGTGGAACACGTCCTGATGGCAATGGTTTCCATTTATTCTTTTCGGCATAGGCAGTGACACTGTCAATGATTCGCTTTTGATTCTGAACAAAATCTGTTTTCTTATTCAAATTAAAGTAGAGCAAAATTCCACTGAGCTCGAATTTGGTCGGATGTCGAAACTTGGCTATGTGGTGAGGTTTCTTACGATCGTAGCATTCATCTGCATGTTTACACAATTGGCGTATGTCGTCAATGTTGGGATGTGTAAATAAATTGAGATGATCCTCATCGTTTAGATTTGTGCATTTTTCACTGTCCGGACAGAGATGGCGAGCGATATGAATTGACTTTTCTCGATGTAGCTCTGTGTGATCGGTACAATTACGACCAAGTCGACAGACATGAGCATACTCAAGACAGTGATGTTGAGTGTCCGGCGATAGAGTCCGATTATTTGTAGTCTCCATCAAATCAAAGTAAGTTTCACAGTGGAACGGAGTCCAAAGACATGCTTTAGGAAATGGATGTTCAAATTGTTCTACATGTTTTTTGTCATGAAAGCCAGCACAATGGTTCCCGTGTCGACAATGCAATACACAATGACGAAATTCGTTGCAGTGAGGTAGAGCATGCTTTTGAAAACTGATACACTTGCGACTCTGAGGACATAGAGGTAAATGACGATATCGTTTCAAATGTTCGTCCTTCATATCTCTACAAGCGCTTCCATTGGAGCAGTAGGCTGGGTGCTCATATTCTTCTGAATGCTGTTCGTCATCAATCATCTTGCATATACCACCGTACTGGCATCGATTACGATGAATGAACGAGCTAATATGAACAGGTTCGTGTGTAAACTCACATTTACCATTGATAGCTGCAAAGGAACAGAGTGGTGGATGAGCGAATTCTTGAGCATGCTTCTGATTGTTGATCTCGCTGCATTTGGCACCATAATGGCACGGTATCTTATCCATAATGCAAACATTACTAACAGATGAATCATTCGATATGAATCGATAAGGACCAAAAATCGTATGACGGATACTTTTTGGTGGCAATGGGGTTGCTATCATTCCTTCCAGAATATCTTTGAACGGTTTGAAATTACCTTCCGGATTCAAATGGTTACCTGTATTATGATCATCAACAATGGCAAAAACAATGGTCTTGAAAAAACCAGCATATTGATGAATAACTGAATTGAACAACTGCGCAACATGAGCTGGTGGATTTTTGAATGCACCGCATCCGAGAGCCGATAATACAAGACTATCATGTTTGTGATGGTAAGCGATAGCAAATACGTTTTCAATCTTCTTCCGTGTTCCAGTAGCATATTTTGGGGCCAAGTGATTACCTTCTAATTTTGGATCTCGATAGGCTGCCATGGCCAACGAGCAGACCCCTTCCAGTGGTTTTTCCATAAAAGCATAGCCTGCCTTTTCGGGTCTGCGAAAAATAGTCAAGCCCGATGTGTAGATCGTACCGAATTCATGCATTGAATACATGGTGGCTGGATCGATGAGCCGTTCGAGTTTACCCGATGACAAACATTGAAAACGTTCACTACGCTCCGGTAACCATTGATCGAGACCAATGTCAAGACTTCGAAAATAGTCCGATCGCCGAAAAAGATTTTCTTCTTGTGCACCATCTCCCTTTCGATATCCACCACCAGGAGAATGAGCATTGGCCATGTTGAGAAGAAGCGGTCGGCTGCCATTTTGAACTAGACGCTCGTAAGCGAGGAGACAATCCTCATTGACAACATCGACACGCGTGTTGTTATAGGGTGCTTTTGTGATAGGTAACTTGTCAATAACTTGTAACTTCGATCGTTGATCGTAGACTATCGTTTTCATGGACTTGCTGATGTTCAACTTCACTTTCTGATCATCAATTGTGTAACTCTGCTTGCGCACTACCGCTAAGGTGTTTAGCATCACTGTCACTCGTAGTTGATGTCGAATTTTATCGTTCGGTGATCCTCGCCGTTCGAGATCTGGTTTACCAGCAGCTGCAGCAACATGATTTGGATTATCTACTCGCTGAAATTGTTTGATCCATATCTGTGCATTCCACTTGTAAGAAAAAATCGGATGTTTCGGATCGGCAACAAATTGCATAATATCTGGTTGATACTGCAGCATATCTGTTTCATACCAGCTGTCTTCATCGATGAAATCAGCATCTTGATTTAGCGAAGATAGATATGCCTCAACCCGAAGACAAAGTTTATCGTCGATGCGAAAGGCACCAGATGTAACTTGTTCGTTCAATGTTTCTTTGTCGGATAATTCCAGAATAAGACTCTCACCTTGCAGTTTATGATGAAGTACTTTGCCCGCCAACTTTGGATGATGGATAATTTTGTGCAAAGCTGACGAATCAGGAATAGGAAACAAGCGAACACGACAGATGAGTTCTTGCTTCTTCGTAATGATTTTATTATCGATTGTAACAAAACTATGCATCGACCAAAGACGTGCCATGCCAGTGGCTAAAACACAAGCAATGCCAGCTTTTTTGTTTAACTGGATGCAAATAGATGACAATGCAATCTTCGATTTTCCAATAGCTGTACAAATGGCTTGATGGCATTGATCTTCGGTTATCGATCGTGGGAGATTCTCGAGAAAACTACAGTCAGCATGAATGTAGACTCGAGCAAGCAGATTTTTGATTACGATATCTTGATTATGCATCACTTGAAGGATTTCATCGAATGATGTTGATAGGATTCGAAATATGTTAGGAAATTGAGCGCCTAGTTTTTCACATCTCTGTGGTGCTTTCGTTTTGTAAATTTCGCTCCAACGACGACTGACTTCTTCGACTGTTGGCATAGAAATCTCTTTCTTATCTTTATCCGTATGCACTACAAGATATGAGGTTAGTTCGAGCTGACCTACAAACGAAATAAAAGTCTTGCCAGCTTCTGGATCCAATACGATGCTTCGTAGACTATTGATAAAATAGTCTCTTTCTTCGCCATTCTCAACGTAAATCAAAGCAATGCCGACTTGCGAATAGCATACAACTTTACCTACTTCTTTTTCTCGAATTTCTTTTAGACGATGGCGAATTCGGTGTTCTACTTGATCACTAGAATCGACATCCACTGGTAGATCAGGGATGTACACGACTGCATCATACTGTGCTGACCTCGGCTTTGAAATCGTTTTGCGAGAACTTTTTTTTGGAACAGAACTATATAAGGCAGCAGCAAGAGGGGCTTGTTCATCATCGGAGTCCAATGTCGATGGAGAAGTGGTTCGCCGTGGTTGCTCATGTTTATAAACCGTATCTTTCGATCCTTCCTTGTCGATGGCATCTCCCGTTGGATAGACATCCTTGCTAGTAGGGTTGCGATCACAGTACTGATCGTCTATATTGCTTTGGCTTATTGAAGATTTTTCACGGCTTGACCGAGGTTCATCTAAAAATGGAATAGAAGACTAACGATTGAACAAATAGTTTCCTCAGTAGTGTCAAACTTGAAACTTGAATTCAATTGAGTTTTCAAGTTTCAATTGAGTTTTCAATTTTCAAGTTTCAAGTTTCAAGTTTCTGGACTACCAGGATTTCTATTTAGAAAAATAAAACACTCTTTAAAAATAAAGCACATGTTAATTGAAATACATGAAAATTTTATATGACTACAAGACTTGTTGCACGATACTAGTTAATTGCTTCCTGTAAATTTATCATCACATTCTTGAGGTAAAATACGACCGTGGAATAATTCATCCATAGCTCCAAATATAATCTTTGCGCTTCGTTTATCGTTCTGCACTTAATGTGCGCATATACTTGAGTTTATTTTTAAGCGCTCATCCAGCATATGGTTTGACTGAACATATTAACACTGGCTTATGATTACGAAAAAAAATATTAAGAAAACTGTTTTATCTCTACACTATTCTTTTTTTGGATAAAATGTGTTTATAACTTAACAAAATAACCATAACTGGAAGAAAATCAAGCTGATTGACACAAAAAGTTCCTCATAATAAATACATCTATGTTTCTCTTCATTACTAATCAAGATATTATTCGAAAAATTTCACGAGTACTAAAAATTCATATAGCTACATTCAGTATGACTTTATTCCCTGTCTCCTTATAAACAAATTCTGTCAAGCATTAGAACCGATAAAGCACACAATGTGGAGACACATTTATTTTTATTTATTCTTTGTATGACACCGTCTTTTCTCTGATTTTCCTACTGCAAATTAAGAATTATATGCTCATACAAGATTTTCACTATATTATACCTTCTTTTCGTTTTTAAGAATGAACGATTCATGCATTTTCATTTTACAAGATACATGAAACAATTATTTATCTGTATGTGAAAAGCATTATAGTTTTCTTGAACTTTATTTTATACGTATATTTTTCGTATCTATATGTCAGCGTCCAAACTGAAATTACGTTCAATCGCAAATTGGCCTTCCCGAATGTCGGATTCGAGATTGGACGCATCCAATCTTGGATAGACACAATTCTTTCCTCGCGGCCAACCCTTTTCTGACCACTCTTTTCGCGGCGCCCACATCAGCTGCGACGAGATGTGTATCCTAGTGTGGCCACTCCTTTCGCGATCAGTTCCGTCGCCACCAGTTCCTTTTGTGACCAGTCATTTCGCGGCATCCACAGCAGCTGCGATGTGATGTGTGTCGTCGTGTGGCCACTCCTTTCGCGATTAGTCCCTTTGCAGCCAGTCCTTTCGCGGTACCCACAGCAGCTGCGATGTAGTAACTTGAAACTTGAAAGGTGAAACTTGAAAACTCAATTGAATTCAAGTTTCAAGTTTTACATATATGAGTTTCCTAGATGTGCACATCCTTAGATCGGTCAGAGCTTTTTCTCATAGAATAAACATTATTGTCTCTGATGATGAGCTGCGTAGGTAATATACTGCTACCACCAATACGAGTGGGCTTCTCGGATAAGGAAGAAGAAAGAATTTAGACTCTGGATTCGAAATTGAAAACATCACAAAAAATGCTTTTCAATTCTAATAAATCAAAATGGAATTTCGTCAAACGCTGTTTCAGATATAAGGAATTCGAACTTACCATATGCTCCTATCTTTTTATTGTCATAGGCATAATCGATTTCGTCCTCATCTTTACTAGGTGCTGAATACAATCTGTCGTCTGAGAACGCTTCCTCTCGAATATTGAATATAGCATGTTGTAGTTCGCCACAATGTTCGCATCTTTTCGTCGATTTGTTATTTTTCATCGAACAGTTCTCACAAGTCCAATCATCTTCATTCTCATAGCTGTCATCAGTGTGTTTCATGGAAACCGCAGCAGCATCGGCGCTTCCTTCTCTGTCGTGCTAAATGACAAAAACACGAATACAACCTTGTTACTACCCGGGAAGCTGAAGCCTGCCTGAAGAACCCCTGGAATCGTTCACATACCAAGATTACACTGAAAGAACTGATTTCTAAACTGCATAACCTGTGATAAAGACAAACACAGGCTCAAGAACGAGTTCAAAGCTATTTTAGAGGGCAGAAACAGGCAAAACTCAAAGGTAGCCTCTCTGTAGTTTCATATTATCGACAAAAACAGTTGTTATACATTCTCGCTGCTCTAACGGAAAATATGAGTGGCTCATCAGGCTTCATTTGCACCACTCCAAAAGAACACTGATTAGTTAAATGGTATCTAAGGTGCCTAATTGAGACTTGGACTATTGCAATTACGCACATTAGAAGACACAAGTTGCGCTAAACTTACATGGTCTTTCGATGGAGCTCGATATTTTTTCAGTGCCTCGGCCAAAGCATTTGTCTTGTTACACGTTTGACAGTTGTTTTTTCCCTGCTGATCAACGCGTTTTTTAGCACAACTACGATGAAATGCATGACCACATTTGGTGATGACGCAATGATCATCGGATGTTAATATCAATTCACATATCCCACACTCTTCTTCAGATGTTGATCGCGACATATTTTCAATCTGAAATTCGAAAATTTTTCTTCCAAATGGTATCTACACTCGCTTTCACGGTCAATATTGGTTTTAGTATGAAGAAGAACAGAAAACAGTTACTCCAATAAAAAAGAATAACGGTATTGAAATCAACATGAGTCAACATTGTTGAGATGACGTTTTTTTCTTCTATGCAATGGATGAAAATGACGGCTGCATACTTGAAACTCGAGGGAGAAGAAACTCGAGAAATTTTACAGCTGTGAAAAATGCATTGCGACTTCAAGTAACAAAAACATATGTAGTCAATACTTTATGTGGAATTAGAGAGAAAATTATTGCTAGAAATTCAGAACAGCAAGAGTATAGGAAAATGCATGGGTGAATTTAAGATAGACACCCACATCCTATAGAGTTATGAGGAATAAACAATACAAATCAAGCACCATCGAACAACTTTATCATGAACAAGAGCGGTTTAAAGCCTTATTTCTTGGACCGCCTGATAAAGAAATGGCGAAAAGAGATTTCTTTTCTAAAGCTTTATGATACAAACAGCAATGTCAAGGATCCAAAAAATGTCCACTTTGCCAAAAGTCCGCTGAGAATATTTGGATTCGACATACCGCATGAATTGTCGCGTATATCAAAAGTTATACAGCAAGCAAAATATAAATACTTCAGCAGCGAATATTTCTTTCTTTCAGCGAATTTTTCTGTTCTGTATAGAATTTTTC